AATGAAATTTGGAAAATACTCTAATGAGCAAGTAAAGATTAATTGTTCATTTAACATAAATTATTTCATTGAATAAAAATTTGAAATAATTATTGCTATCCCCAAAATGTTGGAATTTCACTAGGATGGAGACCAGAGACTGAAAAAAAAAAAAAAAAGGATCTTAAAATGAATATTGTCTGATACAAAGGAAAATAATTACAAGCATCTTGTTGAATCTAAATGAAATTTGGAAAATACTCTAATGAGCAAGTAAAGATTAATTGTTCATTTAACATAAATTATTTCATTGAATAAAAATTTGAAATAATTATTGACAGGGGCTGTCTTAGGCATTGAAGATAATGGCGGTGAGAAAATGTCCTTGCTTCATGGATTTTACATTTTAGTGGTCAGGGGAGACAGATGATGAACAAATGAACAAAAAAAATTATATCGAGTATTAGTAAGTGCTAAGAAGAAAACTCAGGACAAGGAAAAGAGAAATGAGAGAGGGAATGGTGTTTTAGAACGAGTGCTCTGAGAAGACCTTCCTAGTAAGTTGACCTTTGTGTAGAGATGTGAAGGAGAACCACATGCAGATCTAGGTGAGGAGGGTTCTAGTCAGAGGGAATAACAAGTCCCAAGGCCCAGAGGCAGGAGTACAGTTGCCATATTCCAGGAAAAGCAGAGGAACCATTTCACTGAGACAAGACTGGAGAAGAAGCAAATTTGGGGAGAAGAAACTCAAAATTTCATCTCTGGATGTTATAACAGGAATTATGATGGACTGCTAGTAACAGAAACCCAAACTAGGGGCATCTGGATGGTGCAGTCTGTTGAGCGTCTGACTCTTGGTTTTGGCTCAGGTCATGATCTCAGGGTCCTGAGATTGAGCCCTGTGTTGGGCTCCGCACTCAGCGCAGAGTATGCTTACGACACTCTCACCCTCTCCCTACCCACTGAGTGTTCTCTCTCTCTCAAATAAATAATTAAATCTTTAATTAATTATTTATAATTAAATAAATCTTAAAAAGAAAAGAAACCTAAACTAAACATATAAAGTTTTTTTCTCTCAGAGAAAAAATCTGAAGATAAACAGACTGGGCTTTTGTGGCTTAACAAAGTCATCAGAATCTAAGGTTCTTTCTTCTTTATTCTCCTGAGCATGTGGTTTCCACCCTCAAATTCATCTTATGGTCTAAAATGGCTGCTGGATGGGATGCCTGGGTGGCTCAGTCGGTTAAGCGTCTGCCTTCGGCTCAAGTCATGATCCCAGAGTCCTGGGATCAAGCCCCGCATCAGGCTCCATGCTCAGTGGGAAGCCTGCTTCTCCCTCCCCCACTCCCCCTGCTTGTGTTCCCTCTCTCACTGTCTCTCTCTCTGTCAAACAAATAAATAAAATCTTATAAAAAAATAAAATAAAATGGCTGCTGGAGCTCCAACTTTCACATCTGTGTCCCAGGCAAAAAGTAGAATAATAGAAAATTAGGGCAAAAAGACACACACCAGCTCTATGCAACCCCCCCTTTTTAAAAGATTTTATTTATTTATTTGACAGAGAGACAGTGAGAGAGGGAACACAAGCAGGGAGAGTGGGAGAGGGAGAAGCAGGCTTCCCGTAGTGGGGAACCTGATGTGGGGCTTGATCCCAGAACCCTGGGAGCATGACCTGAGCTGAAGGCAGATGCTTAACAACTGAGCCACCCAGGCACCCCTCTATTTAAGCCTTTAAAGAGCCTTCCCTGAGTTCCTCACCCAACAGCTGCTTGTATGCTTTTATCTCCTGTGAATTGCAAGGGAATATAGGAAATGTGGTCTTTTATCTGGGCATATTGCTTTCTAGAATAAAATTGGGGTTCTAAGGGAAAAGGGCGGATAGGTTTTAGGTGGGCAACTAGCAGCCTCTGCCATTGTCATGCTAAATTTGGGGTGTCTGCTTGATGTCCAAGTGGAAGAGTTTAGGAAAGCAGTATAGTATATCCTTGATATGTAAAATATCACTGACCCTTCCTTTATATTTTTATCTTTAATTTTAATATAAAAATATTTACTAGCTCTTTCCCAGATTTACCTGTGACCTCAGCCCACCCAATTCTATTTTCCCCATTAAGGTTTTAATTTTCTCTACCCCAAATTCTCTCACAGGAAGACACATATATGGTTGGAGTGGAACTACTCAAATTTCTTAAGTTTCTCTTTTTCTTATTTTTAGCCATGGCCTGAAGATGCCCTTGAACTTGTAGCTGTGAAATTCTTAGAAACACTGGAGCTTACTGAGGTTGAAAGGCGAGAGATAGTTCCAATCTGCAAACACTTTCACACTACCGTTATGGATCTATCAGAGAGGTTAATATTACTAAATTTTAAAATGCAAATAATGCCTTGTATTTTAACATGTCTCTTTTTATGAAAGCTCAAAATTTCAATAGGATTTCTGTGTCTTCTAAATATTTCTGATCATTTAATTAGTGAGGACCTTGGCTTGCAAGTAATGGAAAACTATTTAATCTAGGTTTAAGAAAAAGGGAGAATTTATGATAAAGATACAGGGGTGTCTCACAAACTTAAGAGAAAGATGATAGCTGGATCACAGATGTGACTGGAAACAGGAGTTAGAAAGTCATCCTAAATCCAGAAATACTTTTCCTCTGTTTCTCATCCTGTTTCTTCCTGGGCATCTGCTTATTTCTCTTTGCAGACTGCATTTTCTTTTTTTTCTTTTTCTATATTCCTTTGATTTTTTTTTCCTAGTTTTATTGAGATTTAATTGGTATATAACATTATATAAATTTAAGATGTACAGCATAATGATTTTATATTTGTATATAATGTGAAATTTGTATATAATGTGAAATGATGTGAAATGATTACTACAGTAAGTTTAGTTAACATTATCTCATTACAAGAAAAAAAAGAGGTAATCCTGATTTCTTGTCTGTAAAATATCAAATAGTAGTGATGTGTTTAAAAAGCACAAATCACCAAAGATGTATCAAAGGTAAACAACAGCAAGAAAGATGTAGGTCTTTTTACATGTTTCATAAGCCAGGAGGGTCTAACTCTATAAAAAGACCCAAGATACTGTGTAAGCTAGGGAAGTATAGTAGGAAGGGGCATATGTCGTTATGTGTAGAATTCTTAGAATGTTATAAAGTTCAAGTACGCAGCAGCTTCTAAGTAAAATTAACCTTTATTCTTCTAGGTTTGTTGTTGATGCCATGTTGAGTACACCTCTTACTTTGTGCAACTCCTTACTTAGAGTAAGATAATGCTATCTGTCTGTCTTAGGTTCTTGCAGGAGCTAGGACGACATAACTATGTTACGGCTACTTCTTATCTTGAACTTATTGCCTCATTTCGACAGCTTTTGACTAAGAGGCGGCAAGCTATCATGGAAGCAAAACAACGATACGTGAATGGGCTTGACAAATTAGCTTTTGCTGAGTCTCAGGTAAATTTGATGAGCTTCTCAAAATGGTAACATATAACGGGAAATATAGGAAATCATAAATAACAAGAGTTATAATTTATGAAGAATATATTATGTGCCAGGCACTGTGTTATGTGCTTCATATGCATTCCTTCAATTTTTCCTCATAAACACTCCATGAGGTAGACACTTTAATGATCCTCATTTTACAGATGAGTAACATGAGTTTTAGAGAAATTCACTAAGTTTCCATACAGACTCAAATACATCCTGTTTTATTCTTAAGTTTTTTATTGTTTATTGTTTATTTTTTTATTTGTTATTTTTATTTTTTTAAAGATTTTATTTATTTGGCAGAGAGAGACACAGCGAGAGAGGGAACATAAGCAGAGGGGGTGGGAGAGGGAGAAGCAGGCTTCCCGCTGAGCACGGAGCCTGATGCGGGGCTCAATCCCAGGACCTCAGGATCCTAATGACTGAGCCACCCAGGCGCCCTTGTTGTTGTTGTTGTTGTTGTTGTTTTTTATAGTAGGCCCATGCCCAGAGTGGAGCCCAATGCGCGGCTTGAACTCACAACCCTGAGAGCAAGACCTAAGCTGAGATCAAGAGTTGGATGCTCAACTGACTGAGCCACACAGGAGCCCCTGTTCTTAAGTTTTTGACATTTGGAGAGAATACAATAAGCCTGGGTTGCCTTTTTTTTTTATTGTAATAGCTGGTTAAATATAAGATTGTGTGTGTTTTTAATGAGTCAAATGCTAGTGATTCTTACTAGCATTAGTTAAGTAGAAGCAATGCAGATTTGGATGATCCATTTGCATTTTATACCATGGACACCCCAAGCCGCCACCTTCTTTCTGTCTGCACTTCTTCTGTGACAACTACATTCTCTCACTGCTCTGTCATATACTCAAGGACAATGAAGTCTTTTGTGAAGAAAACTGACCATGCCCTCATGGTTTTGTTTATCATATAAAGAACTGGAAGGAAAAGTTAAGGTTTTCTGGCCCTGATGCCTTATGATACCTTTAAAGTTTTGATTTTCTGTGTTTAGATTCTGTAGCTTATGTCACTATGAAAACTTAATGGCAAACTGTCTATTTAGGTTGGAGAAATGAAAATGGAGCTTGTCCAATTACAGCCCAAATTGGAGGAAGCTAAAATTGAAAATGCACATATGATGCAGGTAGAGTATCCTGAGTTTTTTTAAACTGATGTCAGAAGACAATTGAAATATGTAAAATTAGCCTTGAAAATACCCCTTAATTTTTTGCCACTACTAGATCTTAGGGACCTTACCCTTTCCTACTAACTGGCTATCTCACTGAGTCCCATGTGAGTTGTGTTGATTTTTTTTAAAGAATTTATTTATTTATTTGGGGGGAGGGGTGAGGGGAGGGGCAGAGGGAGAGAGAATTCTGAGTAGACTCTGCACTGAAGGTGGAGCCCAACACAGGGCTCCATCTCATGACCCCGAGACTATGACCTGAGCCAAAATCAAGAGTCGGTTGCTCAGCTGACTGAACCACCCAGGCGTCCCAGTTGTGTTGATTTTGGAGGGAAGTGGGAAGCCCATTATCCAGTTAGGTCACATGTATTTGCATTTCTCCTCATTTTATCCTGGGACCTCCTGCTCTTCAACATGATTTGTTGGGTTCCCTCATTTCCAAACATTCTTTTGTTTCTAGGATGGAGAAAGCAGTAGGATGTTGGAGGAATTGTTTTATTTATTTTTCTTTCTTTAGATTATTGAGATAGAGTCCGCACAAGTGGAAGCAAAAAGAAAGTTCGTGAAATTAGATGAAGAGATAGCCAGTGGCAAGGCTGAAGAAGCCCAAGCTCTGAAAAACGAGTGTGAGAGTGACCTAGCCGAGGCAATTCCAGCCTTGGAAGCAGCGCTGTCTGCCCTGGATACACTCAAGGCAAATGTTTGAATTCGCTACCTTGTGTGTCATCAACAAATTCCACACAGGTCCTTGGTTCATTAGGTGTGGTTCTGTTCCGCCAGGTGGTGGTATATCATTTTTGTCCAGTCAAACAAAACTTGCCTCTTCACCGTTCATCTCTAATACATCATTATCCTATATTTTGGCTGTTCATATGTTATTTATAATTTTCATTCAGGATATTCCAGTGGGAAGAGAACAAATGGTCTCCAAGAGGCCAAAGTGGTCCTCCACACAGACGAGGAGTGTGGAGTTAGCTACTTTCCTGCAGCCTCCTGGAGGTGCCTGTACAGAAAAACTTAAAAATCTTTTCCAATACAGATGTGGATGGCAGCTGTCTGCATTACAATGCATTGTATATGACTTTTTCCAGGGAGTTTTTAGGCAAACCAGAACAACCTCACCAAACAGAGCAGGGGAGACAGCTTCTGTTGACTACAAGAGCCCAGTGTAGAAGGCAGTTCAGGATATTCAGACCCCATTGTTTACCCCTTTCCTCATCCCACTAACTTCTATGTAAGGTTCCTGACAAGACAGTGAGCTCAACCTATGGGTAATTCAGCATCTCACAGGAGCAAACTCTATCTGATTGTCAGTTATATCAGCCTTGTAGTTATAAGGTATATTATTTTAGGGCATTTATAGAAATGTCTGGTGCTTTCAATGTGCTGTGAGCCAGGAATTTAAAACTCCGAGCTTACTATTTTCTTCCTGTCTGCTCTCTGGCACATTTAAAAGCCACATGCTACCCAGTGGTCTTTCTTCATTCTCTCCTTAGGCATTTATCATAGCAGCTACTCATTCTGGCAAATCCTTGTTTTTAATAGGCACTCCATTTTAGAGGACCATGAGCATTAATTTAAGTAACTTTATCACTGTGTACCATGGACTTTCAGCATTACATCCTCTGAAACTCACAGGATTCTTGATTGCCTTCAAACCTTACCAGTTCAGATCATTGATATTAGGTTCCCCGCTCATTGAGAGTCTGTTGCTTGTACCCTTCCTGGTATCAGATGCTATATTATATGAAGTAGGCTTCAGTTGCAGAGTAGAGAATTGGCTCTATTTAGTATAAGCAGACAAGGATTCTTTAGGGAATTTTGTAAATGGATTGCACAATTATTGGAAGAGCTGAAGAAACAGATCCTAGGCTGAGCTGCCAGGAATGACTCACAGAGCCAAACTGGAAATAGTCTACCAGAGGAATGATCCTCTGAGTCAGAAGCTTGCAGAGCCATCCCACAGAGCCACACCACCTTTACTGTAATCTATATCAGCAAATGAGAGCCTCACACCCTGCCCATCTCCCCATTTATTCAGTCAGAATTCTGGTATCATTCAAGTTATCTGATGATAGAACCCAGTGACCACCCACAACTCTAATTTATGGGGAACTAAAATATATAGTTGTTAGCTTTCCAATAATTGCAAAGGATGTCAGAAGGATATTGGAGTAGATAATAAGTGAGTGAATCTATTGTGTCTGTCATAACAATATATACCTTTTTAGGAAATAAGTTTAAATTAGGGTCTACCTCTACTTTCATTTTTTTTTTTTTTTTTTTGCTAAAACTACTGTATAAGCAAATATAGAATTAAGTCTTTATCTAAATTAGGGTTCTTAATCTGGGTTCAGTGTCTCAGCTTGGTATGTGATTGTATGCAAATTTTTTATATATGTGCAAAAATGTATTTTCTGGAGGATTCATAGCTGTCACCATATTCTCATAAAGATCTATGAACTCCCAAACATTTGAGAACCATTGGTCTTAATCTGTGCCAAATTTAAATTCTCTTTTATTAATTATTTCATAATTATGCAAAGCCAAAACAATCATAATTTCAAATGAAAATCGATGCTCCATTATTCTCCAACATTATTTTCTAAATTCCCATTATTTAAAAATAAACTATTCTGAAGATACTCTGTTTTCTTTCAATTTAGCCAGCTGACATTACAATTGTGAAATCAATGAAGAATCCTCCATCTGGTGTTAAATTAGTTATGGCTGCTATTTGTGTCATGAAAGATATAAAGCCAGAAAAAATTTCAGATCCTTCAGGAACTGGAGGCAAGGTAATAACTAGACACAGATTAAAATCATAATCATGAATGTACAGAACACTTTACAGCAACTATCATCAAATTAAATGTCAACAGTATCCAGTCCAGGGAAGAAACATTGTTTTCCAGATTGAATGGATTCAGAATAAAGAATGGAAAACGTTATCTACATGTATTCCACGGTAAAGCTAAGGCAGTATAGCATCAGAAAAATGTGGTTCCAGTTGCTTTCTATTTCTTTTTCTGTCTGTACAGGTTACCTGCTGTCATGGGGTGGGAGTGATTGAACACGGAAGTATGTGAGCTTTTTCCAGCTAAGATTCTGAAGAACGTGATAGAAAGAACACCTATGTGGTTATATGAGCATTCAGAAAATTCTGCTGAGTTAAGCAGTTTAGTGAAGTTGTTAAAAGTATGTGTTCTAGGGACACCTGTATGGCTCAGTTGGTTGGGCATCTGCCTTCAGCTCGGATCGTGGGCTTGGGGTCCTGGGATCCAGCCCCGCATGGGGCTCCTTGCTCGGCGGGGAGCCTGCTTCTCCCTCTGCCTGCTGTTCCCTCTGCTTGTGCTCTCTCTCTGACAAATAAATGAATAAAATCTTTAAAAAAAAAAGTATGTGTTCTAGAGCCAGAATGTCTGTATTCAGAAATTCTGTCCCACCAGCAGTGTGACCTTAAGCAAGATGCTTAACTTCTGTGGAACTCTGGAGGATTATTATAGTACCTGCCTCACAAAGTTAATGTGATGATTAGATTATACATATAGATAGATACATATAGATCATATGTATAGATAGATACAACATATAAAGCTCTTATGTATAAAGTTTTATCAACAGTTCACAATAAATGTTAGCTGTTGTTGTTATGATTATTATTCAAGGCTACATCCCTTAAAAAGAAAGGCCTAGCATCCATCTTAAACTAAATTTATGGACTTAATTTTCTTTTCAGGCTTTTATAGTACCTAGGTTTGAATTCCTGGATTGGAGAATTGAGGTGTGTGTGTGTGTGTGTGTATATGCATTCTGTCCTTTACTGAGATAATAAATAAATCAGCTCTCACCTTACCAAGTCATTCTCATTTACATATACACACACCCTACCTATTAGGCTTCTGGAATTAGGAAAAAATCTGTTGGGCTACTTATTTAACGTCTTTGCTAGCACAAGTACCATATACTTTATCCTGTAACTGGCAGAGTGATGTGTAATCCTTGTCTTCTTTTTTTATAAGGACACTAATCCCATTCATGACCTAATCACCTCTCCACGACCCAGTCTCCAAATACCAACACACTGGGGATTAGGTTTCAGCATATGAATTTTGTTGGGGGGGATAGAGGACACTTTCAGTCTATAGCACTACTTTTCTGGTTTGAAAGAAGACTAAAGGAAAATAAAGCTAGAAATAATAAAAATACATTTTCTTATATGAAATTCTGATGGTGTTTATGCTAGTTGCTTTTCTTACATTTCCTAAAGAGAAATAATTGCATTATTTGCCTTTCAATGTATAATTTTTTATAATGAATTCAGTATACAAGTTTATGTTCATATCTTAAATGTTTGATATATTTAGTACGTTCTTGGGGAGAGGAGTCTATTTCCAAAGAGATATAAGTTGATATTTTGAAAGTATATGGTTTCTCTGGATAATATACCTTAAACTTCAAGAAGAAAAATTTATACTGAGCATCTTTAATTGTATGTTTAATAAGTTTCTACAAATTTTATTTATAGATACTAGATTACTGGGGACCTAGCAAAAAGCTTCTGGGAGATATGAATTTCTTAAGAGAATTGAGAGAATATGACAAGGACAACATTCCAGTGAGTTTCATTGGATTTTTTCTATACATATAACTTTGCCAAGGTGTATAAGATCTTTAACATTATGCAATATTATATAAAACATAAGATAGTCCATTTTTAGGATTAAAATAATGCAGGCATATTATATTATTGACTATATTATGAATTCTCATAATGCATAAAACCACTCCTTCATACCATTGAAAGTCATTTAATGAATTACTGTTTTAGTGTATTATTAACTTGAAACAGTTCTCCGTCTTATAATAGTTTCATAAATCTGAAACACAAATGTATGTGAGATAAAAAAGTAGAGTGCACTTTTCCATCCAAACTTGTATTTATTGATTAAGGTTTAATTGTTTTTTTCTCATTTCCACATATTTTCCCAATCGCCAACAGTCTTAATTTTTTTTGGAGGAAACATATTGCTTCAATGTCTGTAATCTTTCATCTTATGATTGTATGATATATGTTGAAATTTTAAGATAGAAATGTTTGTTGTATAGGTGACTGTTATGCAGAAGATACGTGGTGAATACCTAACAAACCCTGAGTTCGACGCTTCTAAGATTGCTAAAGCTTCCTCTGCCGCTGAGGGTCTGTGCAAGTGGATCATGGCTATGGAAGTGTATGACAGAGTTGCAAAGGTATTTTGAGGATCAACATATTTCTTTTCTATTGAAATGTTCCCAGAAACTAAAATCTATGCCTATATTGACTAATTAAGAAGTTTCTAAAACAGATACCAGAAAGAATGTACCTTGCTGCAGCACAGACATCAGATGTTGAGTACCTAGTAGATGAAGAGAATACTTGTGTGTGATATAACCTGGTCTTGGCTAGTGGTAGTGAGTGGTAGGGTTGTGAGAACAGGGATGAATCGGCCAGACTGACCTATAGCTGTAGAGACTTGGGGCAAAAGCCAAAACTTCAGGGGCAAAGTGGCAGATTAAAAAGTTGATTCGAAGGGTCAGAAGTTAGAAGATCCTGTAGAGTTAAGAGGCAGAGCACGGACAGTTGCCCTAAAGCAATGGCAAGAACCTTTTATGGAGAATGGTTAAAAGCATTTTGTAAATTTAGCTAGCAAAGGACCACAGAAATACTGGCCTTGCCCTCTGCAGAATTCTACTGAGGGAAGCAGGAAATATAAATAAAAAGGCAGATAAAAAAACATGGTAGCATGCGTGTAGAATAATCTCAGAGTATAGAATAAATGATGAGGCTGTCACAATTGGGAAGATATTCCTAGTAAGGTACATGTGCCTGTAGAGAGGGAGGGATTTTGATTGTTAGTTTTGGGGGGGTAGACTTGTCAGAGAAATAAAATTAATTTTATCTGGAATATTCTTCCATTGAACATCTTGTCCCCTCCCCATCACAGGTTTTGGAACTCTCAACCTAGCTCATGTCCACGTGTCTCACAAGACATGAAGCAGAGAAGCCAGGGCATTCAGAATCTTTCCTGACTTCCCACTCTACACCTCCACACCGCCATTTTAATTCTGATGCAGCTGCCCCATGTTGTTATGGGAGGGTTGAAGGGAGATATTCAGTAAGGTCTCCTCTGAAGTCAAAAGTAGAAAGTGGAGCTTCCTGCTCTCTATTTATTTAACACATTCCCCTTTCAGGATTTCAGCCCCCGAGGAGAGAAAACAGGACATTTGGTGTCTGATCCCTGCCTCCTCCTTCCCTCTTTGCCATCAGCTTCATTCATGGCAATGAACCAGCAGACTTAGATCTTCCTTCTTTCAAACTGGCATATATTATCTTTGGTCAACTTCTCAATTCTTTCTACCAATGGCTTAAAATACACTCCCTGATCAAGTTGACCAAACCCCATTCTTGATATATTATCAAGGCTTTCTTTCTCTTTGTAATTCTATTATCATAGTCTTAATCCCCCCCAAGGCAAATGTATGCTTCAGCCAACTGGGAAGAAGACCACAGACTTGAAAATGCCATACACACACACACACACACACAAAGCATATTTGTATATTTGAAACATTTATAATTTCTGCTACATGTTTTTTTCCCCTCTGTTTTTGGCAACAGTTGAATGGCAACTTCTCATTATTTTGAGACCTTTTGCTGTATCTTGTACTGTTTTTGCTACATATTATAACATTTTGTTAGTCTGAAATAATAATCTATTTATAGATGATCATTTGCTACTCCAGAATGTTTTATATATTTTATATGACCTATAAATATATTTTACTTTAGGTAAAAAAATATGTAAGATTTAAGTCAAAATACTTATTTTGTATAATTTATTATTATAAATAACAAATGTATTTATAATAATAATGAATCACTTTTAACCCATCATATCTATAAAGGATTATTTGGTGTCAGTTTTAAATAGCACACATCCTAGCTGCATTTATTGTTCCCAAACAGGTAGTGGCTCCTAAGAAAGCCCGCTTAACAGAAGCTCAGAAGTCCTTAGCTGAGATAATGGAGCTTTTGAATCAGAAGAGAGCAGAATTGGCAGAAGTAGAACATCATTTGGAAAATTTACAAAGAACATTTATTGAGAAAACTGAGGAAAAGGCTCGTTTAGAAGACCAGGTAGAACTCTGTGCTAAGAAGCTTGAAAGAGCCTCAAAACTAATTGGAGGACTAGGTGGAGAAAAATCAAGGTCAGATTTCTACTTATTTTAACAACATTTAAGAAAGTCAGGCCTGAATATGTTACTTTCTTTGGGTGTTTATTATGATTATTGATTTTTAAGTGTCTGGTTTAGAATGTGGGGCATTCAGCAAGGCACCTGGCCAGGGTTCTCCCAGCAGAATATCAGTGTCAAGGATGGTGTTTGCCACTTGTTTCCAAATTTTTTTATAAGGCAAAGGATAATTTTTATTTTAAGTGGTGAGTGTGTGGGTGATCATTGTATAATTCTTTCCAATTTTATGTGTGTTCAAATTTTTTCGTAATAAAATGTTCACCGGGGGTGGGGGGAGTAGTGGATATATGGCTCATTTTCTTAAAATTTATTTCAAAGAAGATATAACTGGACTGATCTAACAAAAACAGTTAACTTTATCCTAATCTATTTATTTGTACTGGCCAGCCAGCTATCTCATTTATTAATTATATGTGTTGAGTGAATAGCATGATAAGGTAATAGGCCTTTGACAGTACTTTGCAGTGCAGATTAGGTGGTTTTGAAATGCACTTTTTTATTGTAAAGACTTCATGAAATGGAAAAAATACCAACCTTAGCACGAGTATGGCAACTGTTATACAACTTAAATGGAATTTTTGGTAATGAATTGCAAATTTTTTTATGTTTTACAGACTAACAATAAATACTGAAACAAATAGCAGGGCCACTAGGCCAAATAAATCATCCTGGAGAAAATTATTAGACAAACTGCCAGCGTGTTTTTGTTTTTGTTCTTGCTTATTCCCAAGGGTCAAGTTCTGCAAGAAATGCCTAGTGATCTAATAATGAAAGATGGATTATCATTCATGTAGCATAGATATATTATAGCATGTCAGTGCTAGAAGGGACCCAACCTCCTCATTTTATAGATAAGAGTCCAACATTTCATGGCTTTTTGTTATAGAATTTGGACTAGAATTCCCTTACCCTTTCTATTACTGTCTTCCATCATTCTCTCTGGTGAGGTTATTTTTCCTTTGGTTAATCTCACAGATGGTCTCAGGCTGCAGATGACCTTCAGATAATTTATGAAAATTTGACTGGTGATGTCTTAGTCTCAGCAGGAGTAATAGCCTATCTTGGTGCTTTCACTTCTGGCTTTCGGCAAAAATGTACAGAAAATTGGAGCGTGTTGTGCAAGGTAATAGTTTTATATTTCATAAGTTTCCTTTTGAACATTCAAAGTATGTTTTGGGGTATTATGGAGGAAAAGATGGTAATAAGGATGAATAAGAGAAGAAATAGCTTAAAGTGTGGGATCTTGTTTTTTCTTCTTGTTTGATCAGTAAAATACTTCTATAGTCCAACTTTCAATTCAGTTTTTTCTATTTTTTAGAGTTATTAAGTAATAGCTAATGACAAATCAATAATTTAAAAAACATTTCAACAAGATAAATAAAACATTAGATATTTGTTTATTTCTTACAGGAGAAAAAAATTCCATGTTCAGAAGAGTTCTCATTGAGTAAGACTCTGGGTGATCCAGTAAAAATTAGAGCTTGGAATATTGCTGGATTGCCAACAGATACTTTCTCCATAGATAATGGAGTGATTGTTAATAACTCCAGGCGCTGGTAAGGAACATAAAGTATTTTTCAATTATTTTATCTGAAAGTATTTAAATGTAGAGAAAAGTTGACAGGACTTTAGAGTAAGCACCCACATACCTACCACCTCCCAGATTCTGCAATTAACATTTTATTATTCTTGCTGCCTTATCACATACTTATCCATCCCTCTATCCATCTGTCAACTCATCCTTTTTATACATTGCAACATAAGTTGCAGATATGTTTATACTTTCCCCCAAATGCTTCAGCATGCATATCAGTAAATTGTTTTTGTTTGGTTGGTTTTTTTCTTTTGATGTAAAATTTATGTACAATGAAATACACAAGAGGTAAGCATACCATTCATGAGTTCCAACAAAAGTGTACACTTGATACAGATACAGAACATGACTAACATCCAGGAAGTTCTCTTATGTCCCTTCCCAGTAAATCCTCACTGTTACCCCACAGTAGGAAATTACTACTACTCTGATTATTTTCCACCACAGTTTAGTTTTGCCTATTCTGGAACTTCATATAAACAGAATCATACTGTGTATACTCTTTTGTGTGAGGCTTCTTCCACAAGGCATAACATTCCTATTTTTTGTGGCTGAGTGATATTCCAAAGTATGGCATGTATACATTCTCCTACTGATGGACACCGGGGCTCTTTCCAGTTTTTGGCTATTCACTGTATTTATTTTAACTAGGTATTTCTACCTGTTTTTAAGATACTATAACTTGATAATTTATGCAATTTCATGGATATCTTTTTGAATTACTATCATTGAAAGTATCATAACTATATGAACTTTGCAAATGGTTTTATTATCCTTTTATTTATATCACTTTAAAAAGCTTGGACAATTAAAAAAATTAAAAAATAAAAAGCTTGGACAATTATTCTTATCTGATAAATCATTTCCTGTAAATGATTATCCATGTTGTCATTTAATTTTAAGTCTTTTCATTGGACTTTATCTCAAACATACTATGATAAATATTGTTGAGCTCTTATAGTTATGAGGTACCACTGTAAGTGCCCTATAGCTTCAAAAATTCCTATGAGTTAGACATTATTATTATTCCATTTTACAGATGAGGAAATTGAGGCCAGGAGTGATTTAATAATTTGAAATTTAGTAGATAACTGAGCTAAAATGGTGGAATGAGTATTTTAACCCAGGCAATTTAACTTCCAAAACCTTGTTTTTTAATTACTGTGTGAAGTGTGTGGAATAGGATATCACATTCACTACCTTTAAAACTGTAATGGAAATTTTAGTCATTTTGTGGAATATGAGATACATATAAGGAAATCTTACATTCTGAATGTCTGAGTTATTGTTTGTTTCTATACTTTGGAAACCTTACTTCAAGATATCTAAGTTTCCTTTATGTTGATAGTATTGTTTTGACAAAATAAGGATGTGTATGATCATATTTTGAGTGTTTACTCACTCAGATTTGCTTGAGTGTGAACATTCTTAGATTGAAACTTCTAGGTAATTATAGTAAATTTATCATAATCTGAGAAACTATATTTAGCTATTCAAAAAAATATGTTCTCTGATAGAGCAGGAAATGTTCTACTTAACAGAATATTATACCCCAAATTTTTATAATTCTGTTTTAGAACTCCTTTCAATGCATTGGTGGCCATTCAGATTTTTTAAATTGCAGTTCAGAAAATGCTGTTGGTATATTTATATCTTAATTAAAATTTGAGGAAATCAGAGGTTTCAGGGTTATATGTAAATTGAGGAAAACAATCTGTCATTTTCTGGAAGAAAGCTGGCTCTTCTAATAAAGTAATATTTCAATGGAGTCACCCTTTCTACCTGTTATTTGTGCACCAACTGGTCCACAGGCCATGGGTTGGGTGACTTTTAAAGGATTAATCTCCATCCTTATAGTTCAGACTTCACTTCTTGCCCCTTGAGCCCAGTCTAGTCATCTATGGCTGTCATCCTTCTTGACACCAATATAAGTGGCCACAGAAGCTTAGTCTCCTCTCTATCTCCTGATAGCAAAACCCAGTAATGTAGCTAAGGTTCACTCTTTTGGTTATTCTATCTTAAGTGTATCTTAGACTATCTTAAGCATACCTCAGAGAAAGTCTGGGCCACCCAGGCCTCTGGAAGGTGAAAACTGCTCTTTCTGTCTTCTCTCAGGGTGTAGGAACAGTCTTCTGTGTTATTCTCTGCACAGCTGCTTCATTGGTCTATCTCTGTTCCTCTCTGCATATGGTTGTTCACTATGGAAGCCTCAGTTCCTAAGTTCACAAAACACATCAGTTGAAAAATACAGATTAACCAGAACCATCAAGTCAAACTTCAAATTCCTGTGACAGAAAAATCTGATCGGCTTAGCTTGGGACAAATATCCACCCTAGGTTTGGTCACCTATGGCTTGGGACCAAGCCATTATAGTAACAAATATGGGCATTGAAGGTCAAGAGTGTAGTTCTCAGAAAGAGTCATAAACTGGGAAAACAGTGTACCTTTTTAGGACTCTGGTGCTTGCTTTTTTTTTTTTGTATCTTTGGACATGATAAAAAGTAAGAATCTAATATTATTTTTTATATAATGACAGTCATGTACCCCGGCACTGTGTCATTGTTTATTGAAGTATTCATCCTTTCCTCATGGATTTATAATACTACCTTTGTCCCTTTAGTGTTTCTTTTAGTGAGTATTTGTGAATTGGTCTGAAAATATCTTTGTTTTTCTCATTTAAAAAAAATTTAAGTTAGGTTTATTGAAGTATGGTTTATATACAGTAAAAATCTATCCCTTTTAGGTGTACTATTTTATGAATTTTGACTAAGGTTTATGGTCATATGATCCCTGCCACAATCAAGATTCAGAACATTTCCAACCATTTGAGGGTTTTAAATGGAGAGGGGGTGACATAACCTTTTTGCCTTTTTTGTTTTTATTTTTGAATTAACATATTGACATAATTGTCTTTACTTGTAATCAGAGTATTTAGATCATTTATACTTAATGGAATTATTGATACATTTAGATTTAAATCTATATTGCTAGTTCTTTTGTCCCTTTTATCTTTTTTTCCACCTGGCTTTGGATTAATTGAAATTTTTTATGATTTCATTGGCTTATTTGTTAAATACTCCTTATTTTTAGTGTTTGTTCTAGAGCTTACAATATTATTTATCACTGAATACTTTCAAAATATAATATACTACTATACATACAGCATAAGAATCTTTCAACAGTGTAATTCCAGTATCTCCGTTCTACCTATTGTGCTGTTGTTGCATATTTTACTTTGTCATATGTCATAAATCTCACAATAAATTGTTACTTTTTTTGCTTTAGACAATAATTTATCTGTTAGAGTGATTAAATATAAGGATTTTTTTTACCTTCATTTTTCCCCTATTTTTGGACCTCTTCATTTCTTTGTGTTTCTTTTTTTTGTTCTTTTTTCTTTTTAAAAATTTTTATTGTTATGTTAATCCCATACATTACATCATTAGTTTTGGAGGTAGTGTTCATGATTCATTGTTTGTGCATAACACCCAGTGCTCCACACAAAACGTACCCTCTTTAATACCCATCACCAGGCTAACCCATCTCCCCACCCTCCTCCCCTCTAGAACCCTCAGTTTGTTTTTGAGTCCATCGTCTCTCATGGTTGGTCTCCCCCTCCGATTTCCCCCCCTTCATTCTTCCCCTCCTG